CAGGGTTTCTCTGTGTATTCTCTGTGTAGCTTTGCGCCTTTCCTGGAGCTCACTTGGTAACCCAGGCTGGCCTCGAACTCACAGAGATCCGCCTGGCTCTGCCTCCCGAGTGCTGGGATTAAAGGCGTGCGCCACCAACGCCCGGCTCCTTCCATTAGCTTTTTCTGGAAGAATCTGGATCTCTTTCTGTACTACATCAAGTGGCTTTAATGTGACTTTCCTAGGAAAACAAGGACATGCTTTTCTTTTGCAGCACACCGAATTTGTATTTCCTCACACGTCCCCTCAGAGTTTCTCTCCAAGAACAGGTCCACTGTGTAGACTCTTGCTTTGTGCTTCTGGCAGAACCAGCTTCCATGCTGTGGCTCTGCCAGTGTGCTGTAGTAGGATATGTGGATCCTGCCTCTGCTGCATTGACGGGGTGTGGGTGTGGGAGGGGGTCTAACCTGGGAGGGGGGGCAATGGCAACTTTCCTCTTACCGGTCACTTCTGCCACCCGATGCTAGCCTAGAAGTCTCTTCCTAGTGTGATCTTTGACCAAGAATAATGATAATTGAATAACATGGATCCCGAGGTGCCAAGGACTCAGCCTGAGGGGATGCTGCATTTAGTGTGTTGAGCTGCTCTGCCCACCCTCCTAGTGTTCCTTTGCTCTGAGGTTGGGTACTAACTTCCTCAGTGCCCCATCCAAGGAGCTCATCCCAGGAACATCCAGTTTAAACCAGTCTTCTGAGTCCTTGCAGAGAATGATTCAGCCGAGCTTTGGGAAGCCCTGCCACTCCTTACTGTGAGACTGGACAGGAAGCTATGCTTTCCTGGGCCCAGCTGCCTCCTGCTTCAGATCTGGGCACTAGCTCCTACTTCAGAGACTGTGCAAAGATAAGTAGTTCATATAAAATGTCTAGATATCTGCTAGATTAGCATGGTGCTCACTGCATAATCGTCCTCACATCAGCAGTCATACCAGCAGAGTGGGGGGCTTCAAACCTCCTTCAGTCATATTAGGATTCAAGATGGCAAACCCGTACTTACGTAAGGTGATGATTATACACCCTCCAAGCTGTGGGCTGATACAAGTCACTTGTTACTGCCTTTAATGCTCTCTTGATAACTGAGAGTTGAAGGAAGACAAGCACTTGTTTTCTGTGGAGTCAGTGTTTTTCAGACCTTCAATAGATGTATTTATCTTTGTCATCTGGCATGTAGCTGTGAATGTACGTGTGCTCCTAAAATGAAAAACAATTTCACAAGAGAATGATTATCATTACCACAGTGATTTTTTATATTAAAGCAATACTGATTTCAATTCATTACATTGATTTCATAACTTGTTAATAAACCAAAGCTCTGTGCTCCTGTAGAATCGATGCCTCATCTGCCTTAAGACTGAAGGAAAGGAGTTTGTATGAACACAGTCGTGTGTAGTTGGTCTTCCTGAACATTATGAGAAATAAGGCTTTTTGTATATGTCTCTTGTATAAGCCTGTCTCCTGTCTCAGCAGATGTCAGGTGCCATGGTAGTGTCATTGTGTGGTAAATGTTTGCAGAGGTAACCAATATGACTCTTTAGCAAGTTCCTAAACTAGGAGATGGTGTCATGTTGGACCAAGCCTGTCTTCATTCTCTCAAGAACATGGCCATGCTTTTATTTCTAGGTACAAAGCTATGTGTGCAGATAAACACTTCGATGCATCATAAATAAAACGAAACAAGTACTGACAGCTGTGTGGCTTGGTAGAGCTCCACAGAGTGTTTTGAAACCTGTCTGGAGACCTGGCTGACTGAAGCATCCACAGAGAGCTGCAAGGAAAGGATGTCTTTGCAGGTGACCCTGCTGGGGTTGTAGATTTATCAGTGTGAGTGTAAGGGACGCCACTGGCATCTGGACTGTTCTTTAGGTGTGACTAGGGAAGGCTTGCCTCTCCTCGGCAGCAGGAAGAGTCAGAAGGTGTAAGTGCTGGGCATCAACAGAGGTGGAAATAAAGATATCCTGGCAGAGTAGTGCAAACGGTATCACCATAGTAAAAATTGTGGTTTTTGTATGACTCACTCTAATATATTACTTGTTTCACCCTGCCCCCCCAAAATAAGTCAAGACTTAGAAAATAGTAGCATTCATATGTTTTGGTACCCTTCAAGAATTTTTAAAAAGCGCCTTTACTTCACGCCCATGATTCTGTTACAGTATCGGAGTTTGAAAACCCTCGTGCTATCATATTTCTTCTCTGAGCGTTGTGTGGTCTCGTAATTTGGTAGTAAGATTTTGGTTGGTTGGTTGGTTTCGTAGGACCTTGGTATGTAACCTACTGGCTTTGAACTCCGAATCCTCCTGCCTCAGCCTCCCAAGTACTGGGATTACAAACATTCACCACCGTGCTTGAATTAGAATTTTTAAAAATAGCAGAGAAAATGTGACTCTGAATCCTGTCTGACCTATTTACACTGTGAGCACTGGGTCAGACGAACAGTGTGTGAGCGCCCCTGGCCTCAGATGCTCACAGCTGAACACTGATCTGAATTCTTTCCTAGGTAATGGCATGCTGATACAGTGAGATGTGGTGTAATTAGAAATATGACTTCTAGAACTCACAGGAGGCAGAGGTAGACAGACCTCTGTGAGTTGGAGTCCAGCCTGGTCTAAATAGTGAGTTCCAGGACAGCCAGGGCTACACAGTGAGACCCTGTTTCAAAAAATAAAATAAGACTCATAGGAGAAATGTATCTGCTAGGGATGGTGGGGGTCTAATTTTGTGACCAGTAAGGAAGGTCCCGGTGTTCTCAGTTCAGTTCCCTGTAGCTAGCTGGGTAATCTAACTCTAGAGCAGAGCTCACTTCTCTCCCCCGCTCCGCCCCGAGTACACCATGTTTTCTTTGTGTCTAAAGTGTACAGAATCTCACATTTCTCACGCCTGTGGAGCCCTCCTCTCCCGTTTTGTCTCAGACAGGCTTTTGTTACCAAATATCAGGTTACCTTCCATGAAATAAACACTTTATATAACTAGAATCCGATATGCATCTCTCTGTGGTTAAGGCTTTCATTACGCATGGCCCAGCTTCCCAGCTCCTCTGTTGTCTTTTCTCCAGGGTCTCCTTAAGCCTGTCCCCTTCTCCTGTCCCTGTGGCTGGGGCTCTGTCAGCTGGGGAGCTCCTGCTTACAGCCCACACGAAGCAGCACGTGGAGGCGGCAGAGGCCCTTGGACTGGGCATGGCCTCCCTGACCCTGTACACATTCCTTCCTCTCGCTCACAGCGGCACTGAGGCCTTAGTGCTCAGTGCCTGTAGGAGGTGACAGCGCTCTGGTTGATGATGAATGCTGACTCTTTAAATGTTTGTAGTGAATTCTTACACTCATTTTACATACGGACCACAGTTTCCCTCCCTCCTCTCCTTCCGTTCTCCCCCCACCCCATCCACTCCTCCTCCATCTCTGATGAATGCTGACTTTTAAAAATGAAAATCCTGTAACACTCTGGAAGGCTCTGTTGAATCCACTGCCGCAGAGATGTGCTTGCTGTCATCATCTGTTGGTTAAGTACGTAATCAAGGTGCTTTGGAATAGTTCAGAAGATAAGATTCCATTTCCCCTTATACTTGGTATTTCTAGTCTTTATTTCTCACAGAAATTAATTGAATTGTATTGAACTAAGTTTTCTCTCTGAAAGTATGTTATTGGTTACTTTGTATTTTACTGCCACAAAATGTGTCTAAGGTGAATGTTAACTTGACTGTAAAACTTTAATGCCAAAAGTGTCTTTGGCCATTATTATAAATAGTGTATCAGTGACAGCAGTATGGGTGTAACATTTCTAAAATGCTGACATAGAATGTAGAACGCTATTTGTATCTGAGGGAGATGACCTCGCTGCAGTTAGAGTCACACAGCTGCCCCAGTCATGATGGTGAGCGGCCATCCATACAAAACCGAGAGGGGATTTTTAGGACACTTACGGTACTTTAATAGACGCAAGATTAAGAACCCTTTGCACATTAATAGACAGATGGGAGCAGGAGTTTGTGGGACTTAGTATCTAGGATTGTCATTCGGTTCTTTGTCCCTTCTCAGCTGTGTGCCAAAAATTAGAGTGTGTTACCAAAAATAATCTGTTATGATCTATAAGCTGGCAAATCAAGTAGGACTTTATTTTTTTAAAAACAGAACTTAGGAAAACTTACAGAAGCTTTGGCTCCCTTTTGTGGTGGCTGTAGGCCTCGTGGTCTGGAGGAACCGTTACGAGAGGCTTTCTTGGGCTCACACATCTGCACTCACTCAGTTCTTTGACCCAGTAGTACCCGGCCCGTTAGAAGACATTCAGAAAACTTCCCTCTTCCAAGAATACTTTTGCCAGCATTTTTGGATAAAATGCTTTTGGGTGACCTTGGGCCCTGAAATATGTGTAAGTTACCTGATAGGAACCTGAGGCAGAAAAGGTGCATTTGCCTTCCTCTTCGAGGGCTTTAGTCCAAGGCTGGCTGGACCCATGAGATGAAGCCGTGTCCTTGTGGTTGAGGGAGTGGTCAGGAGGTTGCTTACCCAGGGCAGTCAGAAAACGGAGAGGTGGGAAGGAGCCAGGCACAGGACGCCCTTCAAATGACACCTCCAGTGACCTGCTTCCCCCATCCAGGGTCGTGTCCCCCACCTCTCAAGTGCTGCCACCAGGTTTGGAATCCGTCAGTGACGTCCCGGTCACCTCTGGCTGGTTGTACTCACTTGCCAGAGACCAAGCCCTCAATCCAGAGCCAGCCCATAACTAACC